ATTCAACAAACACCACAGCTGACTGTGTTCTGGGCACTGCTGGTTGTGAGGTGGTCTCTCTGGAGGCAGCTCAGGATCCAGGGGCCCCAGAAAAGCCCCTAATAGCACGTTTCCAAGTGGCCAAAAGGCTGGGATTTCAGGGGAATGGCCAGCCAGGGTCAGGCGCTGACAGGGAGACTAGGAATTGTGGGAAACTCCCATTCCTCCTTTCTCTGCTGGAGGGAGGTTCAGCGGACTGAGCTGGAAGCAGAACGGACCGTCGCTGGGTGGGACTTGAGGGGCAAACCTTAGGCGTTCCTCTACCCGTTTTAATGCAGGAGGGTTTCTGATGCGATGTCAGAGCTGCCTGAGGGTGTGTAGGTGTGAGGAGCCCTCCCAACGCTGTGCCTGGATGAGAAGGGTGGGGCAGAGGGGCGACAGTAGATTGTGGGCAGCTGTGTGTGTGCAGGTGTCAGCCTGTGAGGGAACTGCTGGCTGAAGCAGACAAGGAGAATGCTGATGGAGCTTCGACTGTGTGCCAGGCACTGGGCTCTGGGCTGCGAAGACCCTGAGGAGCTCACGATCTGAAAGGGTGACAACTGAGCAGAGCCCAGGGTGCCAAGCACTGGGGGCAGGAACAACGCAACCTGGGAGCCCAGAGCTAGGAGAAGAGGGCGGGGTGCCCGGGAAGAGTGCACATGGGCGGGTGGGCTGAGTAGCATTTTCAAGGGTGAGAAGTTCTGGAGGCAGAAAGGTACTTGGTGCAAAGACAAGGGCGTGAGCAGGACCACAGAGCAGTGGAAATGAGCAGCAGGTGGGAGTGTGGGCTGAGCCAGGGGAGCGCGGGAGCCAGCAGGCCAGGCCAGGCCGGGCCAGATGACGGAAAGCCACATTGGGTTGTAGCCGCAGGCCACAAGGGGTTACTGGGGCTGGACCTGTGTTTTAGCAGAAGGACTCTGGCAGAGCTAGAAGGGAGGTGGAAGTGGGAGATGGGGGCTGGGCTGGGCTGTTGAGCCAGCAATGAAGGCAGAGCCAGCTGAGAAGGTGAGCAGCAGCATCTGTGAACCCGGGTGACAGGGATTGGTTGTGGGGTGTGTGTGGGAGGGAGGGAGGAGTAAGAGCAGGAGTGAGGGAAAGCCAGAGAAGCTTCTTTCTATTCGTAGTGTCGGGGCAGGGAATGGACGTCCGTTCGCGGGAGCTCTGTGTGGGATGGGTGGGGTAAGACGGCTGGAAGAGTCTAGGTCACACGCCCTACAGACAGGAGGAGGAATATTTCTAGCCCTGGGGAGAGGGCTGCTTGTTAGAAACGCGCACGTGGGAAGCATTGGCCTAGAGGTGACCGCCGAGCTCATGGGAGAAGACCCTGCCCCGGAGAAGGCACAGAGCGGGGGTGAGAGGAGGCGAGCACTGCGCCCGGAGAGTGGGCAGGCAGGGCAGGCAGTGTCTATCCTTCTGGAAGGCGGAGGGGCCTGGAGCGGCTGGTGGGAGAAGCAAGCGCGTGCGTGGTGGGGCTTCGGGAAGACGCTCCTGAGAGGAGGCTTGGAACACTGGTGGGGAGCTGTGGCTCTCAAACCCGAGTGCCTCAGGGATCCTGTAAAATACAGATCACCACGCTCCACCCTGGACTTTCTACCACATTAGGACCAAGGTGGGGCCAGGCGTTTGTATTTCTAACAAGATCCGAAATGCAATGTGCTGCTGCTAGTGTGAGGACCACTTTTTGGGAACCACCGAATATCAACAGTCTAGATGAGAAGGCTCAAGTGCAGGTTCATCCAAGTTGGAGATGAGAGGAAAAGGCGGGCTCTGGTCACTGAGCAGAGGTGGGGGAAGGAAGGGGAAGGTAAGGCCGCTCCTTGGAAACAGAACAGATGCCACTGAGGACCCAGGGATGGGACGGGGAGGAGGGAAGCCAGAGGGCAGGCCAAGGAGGGGCAGGCCAAGGAGGGCTCAAGATGCGATGACACAGAGGAGGGAGCCTGAGGGACTGCAGCCCCAGCCATGAACATGAGATGGAGAGGACGGCGGTGAGTTAGGCAGAGAGGAGTGTGGGGACTAGACCCAGCCTCAGGGTCCTGTTTGGCATGCGGCCCAAAGTCTAGGGTCCGTCCTCGAGAGCCACACCCCGTCCCCATCCCTTCCTTCTAACCTGCTGGAGTCACCACCAGCCGCTGCTGTGAGATCCTGGACAAGTTACTTCACATTTCTGTGCTTCCCTTTCCTCATCCAACAAGTGGAGATAACAACATTACCTACCGCAGATTTGTTACAAGAATTCAATGCAAACTCAATGCATACAAAGAGCTTAGAAGCATGCCTGCCACACAATAAACCCCCAGAACGTGTTAAATATCATCACCAGCATCATCATCACCGTCATCACCATCTTCACCGTCATCACCATCTTCACCACTATGATACTCATTAAGGTCAATGACCACCTTGTTCACCTTCCCAAGCGGAACAGAGGCAGCACCTAATACCCTGGGTCATCTCTCTGGGGGCTGCGCTGAGCACAGAAGACCTGGTGCCTTTTCATTTTCCTTCCAAGATCTCAGATCAGAGACCTGCGACTCACCGAGGAGGCCCCTGGCGCCCTTGCTGGACCCCCTCCTGGGTGACCGCCCTGCCAGGGGAGGCACAGGACTTGTTTTCTGCCAACGGAGCGAGGCCATAAAGAAATTCCAATTCATCGGTGCCCAGGAGAACGTTACCAAGACGGACGAGACACCATGGGCAGTATTTAATTATGACCAGGCAGAGCAAATAGGAGGGACGCAATAAAAATGCTAATCAGGGAAGAAAAAGAAAGCAGGCTTCATTTTCTTCCAGAATAGACTAAAGCCCATTTCCCTCCTACCACCTTCCCCCAGACCCCAAATGAGTGTCATAGGCCTGGCTCTGATTGTGACTTGGTGACAGGTAAGTCCATTTAGCCCTAGTCCCAGCCCCTTCCTGCTTCCTTCCTCCCGCCTCCCGGTTCCTAGAAGAGCCCGCGGAGGGAGGGCGGCTGGCTTTCCTCGCAGGCACTTCAGCCAGAGAGAACTTGGAAAGTGAATGAAGCTATTATTCAGGGCTCAATTCCATGCTCCAATGGGCACTGTAGGAAGGGACCAGCCAGCCCCCCTTTCCCCATCCTAATCTGCAGGAGGAGGGGGTGCGGCTGGCGAAGGGCCCCTTGACTGGTCGGAACTCGTCTCTGGCCTGGAAGCCAATCCAACTCAGACCCTCTTAGGAAGAGACGGGGGACGCTGGCCAGGCCCAATGCCTTGTATTCCCAATTCCATCCGACTTGGCTGAACTCAACTTTGGGGCATGATTCAGGGTTTTGCAGGCCGTTCCTGTCTCCCTCCCAAGTTGGCTGACTCCCTGGGTAGCCGATCCTTCCTTGCTCGCTTGCTCAACGTCCACGTTGCTGCCAAAGACAGATTGATGTCTCTCATTTCCCTCGGTCTCCGGGAGGCCTGGGCCAGCCCTCCGGCTGGTTTTAGGTAAAACCTGCTTCTTTGCTGCCTCAAGGATCTGACTCAGCCCAGGCCTTTTCCCCAGGCTGCCCGCCTCTGTCTGCTGGGCTCACCCTGGCCGGTGTCCATGTGATTTACTGCTCTCTTGAGTCTCTCTCTTGCCTCCTTAAAACTTGTGCAGCCACGAGCCCTTCCGACATCAGCAGGGCACGAATCAGCCTGAGGACTGGACCGCCCCTCTCTGCACGCTCCAGGGAGGCAGCCGCAGACCCTCCCCTCCCGGCTACCGTCTCTCCCTAGAAAACAGCTGCTGGGCAAACCATGTACACACTGCCCGTTTACCTGCTGTGGGATCTTGGACAAGTTTCTTAACATTTCTGTGCTTCGGTTTCCTCACCCAACAAATGGAGATAACAACATTACCTACCGCAGATTTGTTACAAGAATTCAATGCAAATGCATACAAAGAGCTTAGAAGAGTGCCTGCCACACAATAAACCCTCCGGAAGTGTTAAATATCATCGTCGTCGTGGTCTATATGATATTTATCATCAAGGTCAATGACTGTCTTATTTGCCTGCATGTCCAGGTACTTCACAGAGTGTCTAGCGTGAATAAACACTCAATCATCACTGAACCAATGAATAAATGTACTCTTAAGCTAATTCTTCCAGTGACATTCCACTTTTCAGAAAACTTTAGATTTAGATTTAAAGAGAGGACCCGCACACGGATGCCAATGCTGAGGGATCAACGGCTGAAGGTGGGCTCCCAGCGTCTCGGGGGAGGGTTCAGGGTGAGGGCTGGCTTTCATGTCCAGACAGTCAGCTACGCAGAGTACAGCTCGCCTGGCCAGCAGCTCCTAGGGACTGTCCCTAAGGTAGAAGTTCCCTTCTAACTCTAACGCAACAGAACCGTAGAAGCCAGCCAGGAGGAAAGGAGACAGAGAAACGCTCCTCGCGGCCGGAACAATATTCCTGGGTCCTCCCTGGGCTCCAAGGCATCACAACCTGCAGGGGGCCAACCAGACGAGCGAGGGGGGGTGGGGGGGAGCAGGGCCTTTCTTCCCTCTCCTTTCTGTTGGCATTCTTTTAAAATGGATTCTTTCCGCATGGTTCAAAATGCAAGAGGTCCTAAAGTCTGCGTGTGGAAAGACCCTCTGTCAGCAGCCATCCACAAGTCCCTGGCACAGCCCGTCTCCAGTAACCTGACACCTCCAGAGGCGTTTCATGCCCCTTCAAGCCAACACGCCTAGTCTCCCTCCTTTACACAGATGCCAAGCTTGCCTTACACAGCTATGCGCCTTGAACTTCCCTTAATATATTTTGGAGATTATTCGATATTAGTATTCTTTTCGTGGCGACACAGTGTTCTATTCTAATAAATTCATTTGCTTCACCAGCCCATTTCAGTCTTTCTACTCTTTAACTTTCTACTCTTTACCTTTTCATGAGCAATGCTGTAATGAATCTACCTGCTGTGGGCAGGTGGATCCGTAGGAGGCACGTGACTGTATCTGAAGATGAAGTTCTATTCAAGGAATTGTTTGGTCAAAGGCTTTGCCCATTTGTAAATTTCACGGTTATTGACAAATTGCCTTTCATCGATGGCCTATTTTTTTAGCATGACAAAGCTGGAGTTTAAAGAGGGTAAGTGACTTGACTAAAGTTACATAGGTTGCAAATAAAGTAACGGTGAGAACTAAGGTTTTTAGGATTTCAGCCCAAGACTCTGGGCTCAAAGAGATCAGGAACATGTAAGAAAGAGCAGACAGATTCCTGAACTGTAACAAAACCTGCAGTTTCGCAGAGTCAACATTATATACTATGGACACAACTTTGAGCTGCCCTGAGGGAACCCACAGTCTAGAAGGCGAGAGACAAGAAGCACTTTGGGTTTACCATCTGCAATAAGGATAAGAGACAAGGAGACACGTTGAGACTATGGGAAAGGCCCCCGATCAGCTTTGGCTTCCTGGAGGAGGAGGCAGTTAAGATGACATTAGACCATCTAGCAATGTCCTCCGCAACGTTGCTTATGATTTCCCTCTTCTTCAGCACTAAGTCCCGTCCCAAACCCTTATCAATATTATTAATAAGCGGCAAAACGGATCGCCTTGCGAAAGCATGGTGTAGGTGGAATAATAATAAAGGCCACCACGTGCTGAATTCCCACCGTGTGCCAGCCGGTGCTTCTGCCTCAGCCACCAGCCAGCCCTGTGCCCTGGAGCAGGTGACACTCCCGGGTGTGCACTGGTGCCTGCATCTCTCAAATAAAATGGCTAATCCTCTGACCTCCACTCCTCTCCCGTCCTCACATCAGCCTTGGGAAGTTCCCCTTTGAGAGAAGATGTCACAGAAATAATACGATTGTCATTCACTGTTACAGTTTTCCAAGGTGGTTTTACATGCTATTTTATGTGCTCTTCATAACAAGGACGTGAGGGAGGGAGCTAGGGGGGGTACCAGTCTCTTCCGGAGGTGGGGAAACTGAGGCTGGGCCAAGGTAGATTACTCAGCTCAAGTGCCACTGGGGCAGTGGTGCAGCCTGGGCTGGCACAGCCTTCAGTCCTGACACCTGACTCTTCCATCTGTGATTCCATATTCACCTGAAGGCATTTCAGTTGGGAGCAATCCGAAGTCCCCGTGCCCTCCAGGAGTCTGAACTTAACTGGCCTTCGAGGCGCTGCCCACCTCCCCCAGCACCTCCCAGAGCACACGAAGTCTTCCCCTGGCTGCTGGGGGTCCAGTCTGCCCTTGCCCAGCCTGAGACCCCAGGACCTGCCTGGACCATCGCATATGGCCTGTTTCTGGGTCCCCTCTGCTGTCCTCTGTTCAACAACCAGATGCCACCTGCTGGCCTCCCTGGTGCCAACCACATGTTAGAATGGCTGTCTAGCTTCCATGACATCATTTCCAGATACTTCTCTGTCTGCTGGGTGGCCCCCCCTCCCACAGCCTACGGCTAGGTTTGCCCTTAAGCTGCTCACCCACAGTGGGATGTCCCACTCCAGACCCAGAATGGTGACTTGGGATGTGATTGATGCTCTAAATGCTGTTTCAACAGCCCCCCCTCCCCCACCCCCCCCTCCTGCTCTAACCCTCCATTCAAGGCTAGAACTGATGCGCTAGGTAAGCGGTGATGTGGTTTCTGGAGGCCTGTTGGTCCATCTAGAAAGCGCCCGAGGTTCCCTGTTTTGCAGGTATGAGTAAGAACACAACCATTTGCGGGACGGCTCTGTCTGAAAACAGACATGATTACTATTTCCATCACCTTTTTAATCCTTTAATCACACATTTGCAGCAGGGAGCCCGGTCGGGGTGAGTCCATTTATATAAACAGCAGGCTATACGCCAGCCAGGCTTAGAGGAAAGTAAGAATCATTTCGTGACCAGAAAATGAATAACCCAGCGACTTATCCCCAAACAGTTTACATCAAGCTGCTGGGACTTGTGCTCACACCATGAGGGCTTTGGCGGAGACCCAGCACCCCTCCAAGGCCCCGGGTGCTGGCCTGAGCCCTCAGCTCTGTTGCTGGGCTGGGCGGTGTGGAAGGACCGGGCCTCTGGGCAGCCGGCTGCCCCTGAACAAGAAACCTCCCGGGTCTCCAGCCCTTGGATCCTGGTATTAATCTGGAGGTCCACCCTGTCATGGATGGAGAAGGGGGTTCCAAGATCATTGTCTGGAATGGTCAGGTCCCTAACAGATAGAGGGGTCTCCCTTCCTTTTGAGATACTGGGAGGATGGGACAGATGGGACTAGGGCCCCACAGGAGACGGGGAACATCCAACCAGGGCTTCTCCATGTGAAACCGAGGCTTTAACCAGTGGCCCAGTTGGCAGAGGCAGAGCGGGGCCTTGGCGACCCTCTATTCTGAGAAGGCCATCAGCCTGGGAAATACACCCCAACTCTCTTAATTTTAGATAATTCCTCAAGCTGAGGCCAGTCTCCCCCTCCCCTCCCCCCCAGGATTGGCTTACTTGTATGTTAGAATCTCTCTCCTGATCTGAATGGGCCTTATTGCTGGCTATTGCTGCCTAACAGACCACCCCACGGCGAAGCGGTGCGCAGCAGTGAGCGTTTACTTAGCTCACAGTGTGTGGGCCACCTGCGGCCAGCTGGTCTGGGACAGACGTGGCTGCACAGTCGGAACGCAGCTCTGCACCCTTTTCCTCCTCCTCCCGGGACTCGTGGAGATAGCAGAGGCACCGAGAGGTGAGTAGAAACGTGCAATGCCTCTCAGAACCTAGGCTCAGAGCTGTCGCACTGTCCTAGGGCGAACGGCAAAGCTGAGAGTGGGGAAATGGACTCTCCTCCTTTATGGGAAGAGCAGCAAGGTCCCAGTCAAGGGGCTAATGACACAGCCCGCATGCACCCAGCCAGGGGGCCAAGTTGTGCTCCATCCCAAGAAGCTCTCGCGAGGTCTCCCTCGTCCCTCCCCTACTTTGCTCAGGCCTGGGAGAGGCAGGATGGACAGATGACAGGGACCCTCAGAAGGACTCAGCCCAGTGTCACTTGGACTCTGACTCTCTGTCCGTCTGCCTCTGGGTGGAACGTGGGCCCATAAGATTAGGAAGACAAAAGCTTGCACTCAACCAAGTGATGTAGTTCAATCTCACGAACTACAGTTTTCATGTCTCATATTTTCCTGGGAAAATGAAGTGGCCGAAGGAACGCACAGCAGGAGTGGAAAATGGAAACCTCTGCAAATTCAGGGCATGTGCCCCGGGTGACTGCTGGATGGGAAGCGTGAACCGGAGAGATGAGCAATGCTGAGCCCAACCTCAGCCCGGACCACACCTGGAGCCGGGACCTTGTAAATGACCGGAACGATGATCACACAGAATCTTGATAGAGGAGCCTGGCCTTCCCAAGAGCCTGAGCTCCTCACGCCGGCGAGTTCAAGACATAGATGGTTAAGTTACCACGGGGGCAGAGTGGCCGTGAGCTTGGCTAAGGCAACATCGGCTCTCACGATTTTCCGAAATCTGCACGTGAAACGTTCCCTTCCCAGCCCTCTAGCCCTCGGCGCACCCCCCCTCCCCCCATTAAACAAACCCTTGTTTCCTTTCCTGCCATAGAGTCTATTATTTCACCCTGCCTCGTTTATGAGAGGTTCCGGAATTGGGGTTGTGTGCAGTGGCTGATGACTCTTCGCTATTACCCTCGCTCATTCTCTGTGGCATTTCAACACTTCGGTAATGAATTACCTCTACCATTTCTGGCACAAAGAAAAGAGGGCTTAAATTAATTTTCAGCAAGGGATACGATTGGTCCCGGCAACTTCCTCCCACTGTGTTAACATCAATGTCATGTCTCATTAAATGCCGATAAACAAGTGCATCACTGTAACAAGCCACAAATTGGCTTATTGACACCCCCGTCAGCTGTTCTCTGCTTCCCAACCCCCCAGCTTTACAGACACATGGTGGTCAGGCACAATGGGGGCCCTGGGTTCGCTGCTACTCATTTTTGCTGGGTCTGACTCTCATGTTACAACAGATTGTATTAGTTTGGGTTCTCCACCTCTGGGGTTCAGGTGGCTGCTCCACAGAGGGGGTGGGCTCCCTCCTCTTCCCTATCCTCCCCAGCTTTCTCAAGCAATGGCCTGTTGGCTTTTACTAGGGCAATCCTCACCAGCAAAATCAGCCAATCACACCACCAAGGCCAAAGCTGCCACTAGCCCTATCACCTGCCCACTTAGTGTGCTGCTGGGACCCAGGAGATCAGGCAATGTCTTAGGTCAGCAGTCGCCAACCTTTCGGACATCACGGACCACCAGTGGTCCGCAGACCACCAGTGGCGACCGCTGTCTTAGATGATGCCCACCATGGACAGCCAGCCCTCACTCCACGGGTGACCTCATCTAGTCTTCTGTCTCCATCCAGACCTCTTCCCGAACTCCCGCTTCTCACCTCCGCCGGACGTCGAATGGAGATCTCACACTTAACCTCTCCCCAGTCAGGCTTCTCCCTCTGACCTGCTCCTCCACGGTCTTTCCCGTCTCAGTCAGTGGCAGCTCCTTTTTGCCAGATATTCAAGCCAAAAACCTGGTGTCCTCCTTGCTTCCTCTTTCTTTCATCCCCACATTCAGCCATCAGCAAATCTTACTGGCTCTCCCTTCAAAATACACCCAGAATCTAACCCTGCTTGGCACCTCGCTCCTCTCTAGTCCAAGCCGCCAGACTCCTACGTGGCCTTACTGGGCCCGCCCTCCTGCAGCACCCCGTCCCCCGTCTTCTAGTCTCAACAGCAGTCAGAGTGGTCCTTTCCAAATGTGTGTCAGCTCACGTCACACTCCTGCCAAAATCCTCACTCGGCGAAAAGCCCATGTCCGCACACTGGCCTTCCAGACCATACGAAGCCTGGCCTCACGGCTCTCTGGACTCACCTATCCCC